CACTTCCATTGTACCTGTTTTGATATAAAGAAAAAAGGTTTTCCAATTTTTGCTTAAAGTCAGTCAAATAAGACGTATAATCATGTCCTAAATGCTAGCCTAACTTAGTAATTATGTAGTTAACTACATGTAATTTAAACCTAGGATCTACAACAAGGCCTAATCCATATACGAATGGAATATCTAACCAATATTTCTTATATTTTTCTTCAATCTTTGAAACAATTTCCATTAAAACGTCATTATATCTATATTTAGCAAAAGTTTTAGCAATTTGAAGTAAAATATCTAACACTAAATTAGTAGTCGGATAATAAATACCACTTAATGTATTAGTAGAATCATAAAAAAATTTAAGAAATGAATAAAAAAAGTACCGCCCAATCATCATAGCTGACAACTTCCTCTAGATAGTTCTTCCGATTGACAAAATGTATAATTTATTTTGCGGTTGGCAAAGCTTTTTCAAACATCAAGTAGGTGGAGTTCCAATAGATAGGCATGTCTGTACATAACTTCAAAGGTCGAATCGGTGGGTCCTCTTGCCTATAATATTTGACGTACTCCTACAATCTTTTATTGCTACCATCGACGATAAATCTGATAGCCGTGCGCACCCTCTCCATCTTCGAATGTATAGCATCTAAACCTGCTTTAACAATCAAATTGATGATGTGGCAAGCACATCTTTGGTGAAAAAATTTGCCTTCACCACGCGGATCCAATCTCTCTTCAAATAAAGAGATTGACGTGGTGTTAGCAGCTGCATTATCAAGCGTTAGCGTTACAACTCTATCAGTTAATAGATATTCTTGCAAAACTTCAAGAATTGTAAAATAAATAGTGTCAGCACTATGTTTTTCATATAATGGTTTAAAATCCATCAATTTTTGTTGTAAACCCCAATTATGATCTAAGAAATGTATTGTGACAGTTAAAAAATCGGTTTTTAATCTACAAGCCCATATATCTGATGTAAGTGCAATAGATATATTCCTAAAATTTTGAAATTCGTTTTTAAGTTTATTATTTATCTTGTTATAAAGTTTTAGTATATCTCTTCTACTTGTACTTCTACTAACAGGGGTATATGCTGGACAAAATGCAGTTTTAATCATGTGAATAAAATAAAGATTTTCAGATAAACAAATGGGAGAGTACGTAGCAACTATTAAGCTTGCTATTTTCTCTCGTGCAACGTGTACATTGTTTTGCCATGTTGAGGGAGTTGAGGATTGTGGATTAAAATTAAGTTGAGTTTGAATTTGCCTATCTGATCCGGTTGAAGATGTACTGAGCAGCTGCATTATTTGGGGGTGCTTCTTCTCCAAGTGTCGTCACATCGTTGAAGTCCCCTTCTCAGCGCCAATAATGGTTCCACAGAAATTACATACCCCACATGATTCTTCCCCCTCCCCATTTGTCTTTAGCCATTTTGATTTGGTGAAGTGTCATCATACATCGGATACGACCCTCTTTAACAGTCGAGGGGCTTGGGCTATGCCCGTGCCCGTTGACTCGCAACTCACATGTGTTTGGCTACATCTCATCCCAGTCGAATGTGGTTGGAATTACAGTTGCTGCCTCTGGAGGAAAGGGTAAAATGGATTGAACCCTTTCATTTCTTTAGTGGATGGAACGTAAAACTCATTTGAGGATGATCCTCCGAATGCATCATTTCGGGAATCCATTATGAATTTATGATAAAATAATAAATAATTAAAATGAAAAAAATTAAATAATAATATGAATAAGAGATGATATTGAAAAATAGAAAAAATTGAATAATATAAATAAATAAATTATAATATGAATAAATTATAATATGAATAAATTATAAATATAAATATAAATTGAATGAGAATTTGATTGGAGATTTGGAGTAGAGAGTAGAGAGATTGAGTGGTGTGGAAAAAATGAGAGATTTAGGGGATATTCATAGTGCAATTGCTGCCTTTGGATATTGGGGGGTGGCGCAGGCCACAAATGACCGTTGGCTATTGCCAACGGCGGTCACATGACCGTTGGCTGCTGTTAGTGTATGTCCTAGAAACCATTTGTGTTGTTAGTTTCAGAGCATTTTGTCTTGTATCAGTATATCATAAATAATAGAAGAAAGAGTTCTTCAATTCATATATATAAATTGCTTCCTTTATTCAGTCATGCATTTAAAATAAAGTATATATATGAATTGTCTAAATGATTCATTTAATCGATAAATGAATTTATCAGAAGGTTCCCTACGGAAGCAATATAATTTGGGCAACTATATTGCATAGTAGGCATATTGGATGCTTCTGAAAGATATCATGAGTTGATATAAGTATGAATGACGATGATAGTCATGTCACTAGGGCATTAGTATGGATTAACGGTTGGTGAACTGTTTTTTGAACGTGACTAAATAACGACAAATCACTTGGAAAAGCATGTAGTCAATGATTTATCGTTTGGTTATATCAGTGCACGATGTAGTCCTTTGACCTGAGACATTGTGGTCGGACCCGATACGGATGCGTATGGTTCATACAGTGTATAAGTACGAGACTAGCCATGTTTCGTATGATAAAGCCTATTCGGTCATGCGGTGTTCATATGTGGAAACGAACGATGGTCAAGAAGGGATCCACTGACTCAGAAATATAGGATCGAGAGTACCGCTAACTGTCGATAAATGTCAGAAATCATAATCTCTTGCCAGAGTCTATTATTAGTCATACGAAAGCAAGTTCGTGATGACAAGTTCCAGACATATTCGGTAGAACATCGAGTTTAAGATTTTGACGTTTCATGAATCCCTACTCGATCAGGATATATCAATGGAAGGACTTTACCTGCATGGTACATATGATTTGAAAAGGGTTCGATGAAGCATTTCTTCATCGTGGTCTAGGGACTATGGCACATTACTAGATGTTTGCCATAGTCGTTGGGCCTCTAGACTCATTTCCGAATTCATCCAAAACCGGCTCATGGCTAATCTACGGTGGACCTACATGGTCACACCAATAACCTTGAGAAGTTAGAGAATGATAAGAGAGAGAAATGATTATCCGAAGAGGGCTAGCACCTTCCGAGGGTAATGACAGGATTTCTATGGTAATAGTTACATAGAAAATAATTTGTGACATTTTAAAGGTTAAAATGGTCAAGCAATAATTAATTGTATTTAATTATTATATCTTAAAGTGTTAAGATAAATGAGATAAACTAAAATAACCTTTTAATAGTTAAAGGGCAAAGGGTAAACTTATAGGTTGTTAATGTAAACTAGTTTAGTTTACATGTGCCCTTGAATAATATTGATTATTCAAAGGGAAAATTAATAAATGTTTGGGCTCCTTCTAGAATAAGATTTTATTGGGGCATGCAAGTGAAAAACAAGTAATTATAAAATGACCCATGTATATATAAATGCAAATGGTTGCATTTTAGGTTAAATGTTCATTTTGTTCACTCAAAAGAAAAACAAGCTCTCTCTCTTAGGTTCGGCCACTCTCTCATTCTCTCAAGGTGGTGTTAAAGTGTGGAGGATTCATACTTTTGAATCTTGGCTTCATCAAACCTAAACACTAGGAGAAGGTATAATATTTTTTATGCTTTATTTACTGTTTTTGAATCAAATTAATCCATATCTTTACATGCATGTCTTGTTTACATGCTTCCAATCAACATTTTCTGCCACCTCTTCATGGTTCTTTCAACTGTCAGCCAACGGTTATTAAACAATTTTTTTTTTTAAATTTTGTAAAATTTCCTTTAAACCCCTATAATTTATGTTTATTTCAAAATTTATAGGAGGTTTTATGTATTTATATAAGGAACTAAAAAGAAAAAAATAAAAAGGGTTTAGGCTCGGGCCTTGGAGGAGGGCCCAGCGGAGGGACCAGACCCTCCTCCTTAGGCCTGGTTTGGTTTTGGGACCAGGTCTGCTAGGACCGGTCCTAGGATCGGATTTTTGGACCCGATCCCAAATGCCCAGCTCTACCTAAACCCATCCGATTCGCCAAATTAACTCCCCAATCGACAACCCAATAAAGATGGTTCCCCATAGGTACCTAAACTCCTGGAGTATGTTGCCATCTCTATGTTCCACTCAGATAACATGATAGGTTTAGTTAATAAAGGAAATTTTGTTTTTCATTGTTGACTACATAAAATAACAAATACAACAACTTTTTTCATACAATCTCGCGGCTTGTGTAGAAACTACCCAAATTTTGATATTTATTTCTTCAGTAAATATGTGGGTTGGGATCTCAAAAATCTTACACAAATCTAGGTTAGCACTTGTTACAACTCAAACCTAAAAGAGAATCCAACTTAAAAGACCGATCCTAATAAACCCAACCATTAATATAAGGTAACAAAAATTTAAATATATGCGTCTTTCATCTATTTAAATTTTACATCATAGGAATTATTTCTTGAAGCAACAAAAACAATTTCGTTCACGCAACAACTTTTCAAACTTAAAATGACGTCGTATTGTTCTCTCCCTTTGTTCCCAAATTTTAGCTTCCAGAACAGAACGACCAATAATCACCAGTTTTGTCACCTACCCGTGCTTGATTTATTTTATTAATATCTAACCTTTTCATTTCGTTACTCCATCGCCTATCCAACTACACAATCAGCACCGATTCAGTGATGCGTTATCGTTTTCTATCGGTATCTTTATCTCTTCCCGCCTCCCAATGCACCGCATAACTTCACCTTTTAGTTATTTTTAGTTGCTTCTAAGTTTAGCTATAACCCTTGTGCTTAGTTTAGTTATCTGGCAGTTATTTTAGTTTGGTTTGGTAATTGGATTTCTTTTGCTTATTTTGATCTTGAGGTTCTTGGTTGGACATCGCCTCTGGGACACCCATCTGTATTTTACTGACTTTATTTGTATTTCAGGTGTTTGGTTTCTTTCATATATTTTTTAAATTTCTTCTTTCAAATTTGGTTTCTTGGAATTCTTTTTATTTTTTATTTTTTATTTTTTTATTTTTTTTTTATTTTTTGTATATATTTCGATTTGAGAAAAGTAATTTCTATCGGTGTTTGGATCTTAGGATCCAGTTGGTGGGTTTCAGGTCAAATTCTTAACTGGATCAAGAGGTTTGAATCTTTTACTTGTTTCCATCTCTTGATAGTTGCTTATGATTAATTCAGGAGATTGCTAGAAAATCTTATTTGATTCTCTTTGATTCTTTTATAAAATTAACAGGTTGCTAAAAATATTATAATTGGTGTAAATTTTTTACATTGATTGAGAATTCCTTGTTGGATTTGTCTTTTCATTAGCCATAGAACCTTGATAAGCTTCAGCATCTTTATACAACTGAGAAATTATCCTAACATAGGGATATTGTTTGAACAAAGATATGGACATTAGTAATGAGGCTAGTGTTGATCGTTTTTCAATTGGACCATCATCCATTGTTGGTCGGACAATTGCTTTCAGAGTCTTATTCTGCAAGTCAATTTCACAATTGAGGCATCAGATCTTTCATGTCTTGTTGAATTATATATTTAGATTTAGGGATTTCTTGGCACCTATGATATCATGGCTGCATCCCCGGAATCCACAAGGGATATTAGCTATGGTAACCATAATTGCTTTTTTGTTGAAACGGTACACGAATGTGAAAGTGAGGGCTGAAATGGCGTATCGGAGAAAATTTTGGAGGAACATGATGAGAACGGCATTGACATATGAGGAATGGGCTCATGCTGCTAAGATGCTTGATAAGGAGACCCCAAAGATGAATGAAGCAGGCCTTTATGATGAAGAACTGGTGCGGAATAAGCTTCAAGAGCTCCGCCACCGTCGTCAAGAAGGTTCTCTTAGAGATATAATCTTTTTCATGAGAGCTGATCTCATCAGAAACCTTGGAAATATGTGCAATCCTGAACTTCACAAGGGTCGGCTTCAAATGCCCAAACTTATAAAGGAATATATAGATGAGGTCTCAACTCAACTTAGGATGGTCTGTGACTCAGATTCAGAGGAGCTTTCTTTGGAGGAGAAGCTTGCTTTTATGCATGAAACAAGACATGCTTTTGGGAGAACAGCATTGCTCTTGAGTGGGGGTGCTTCACTTGGAGCGTTTCATGTGGGTGTTGTTAAAACACTGGTAGAGCATAAGCTTTTGCCCCGTATTATTGCTGGTTCTAGTGTGGGATCAATTATGTGTTCTGTTGTTGCCACCAGGTCATGGCCAGAGCTGCAAAGCTTTTTTGAGGATTCTTGGCACTCGTTGCAGTTTTTTGATCAGTTGGGTGGAATTTTTTCGGTTGTGAGGAGGGTCATGACACAAGGTGCTGTTCATGACATCAGGCAACTGCAATGGATGCTGAGGAATCTTACAAGTAATCTCACATTTCAAGAAGCCTATGACATGACAGGTCGAATTCTTGGAATAACGGTCTGCTCCCCAAGGAAGCACGAGCCGCCTAGGTGCCTTAACTACTTGACTTCGCCTCATGTCGTTATATGGAGTGCTGTGACTGCTTCTTGTGCCTTTCCTGGCCTGTTTGAGGCCCAGGAACTAATGGCCAAGGATAGAAGCGGAGATATTGTTCCTTATCATCCACCCTTTAATTTGGATCCTGGGGAGGGCACACCAGTGCGTAGGTGGAGGGATGGTAGCTTAGAGATTGATTTACCAATGATCCAATTGAAGGAGCTCTTTAATGTCAACCATTTTATTGTTAGTCAGGCAAATCCTCATATCGCACCATTATTGAGGATGAAGGACTTGGTGAGAGCTTATGGAGGTAGCTTTGCAGCAAAGGTATGTATCTTTAGTCTTCAAAATTATTTACTTATTTTGATTTTTCTTGGTTAGCGTTTTGTGAAGATGCCTTTCCATACTATTTCATTTTATATTCTCTTCTTTTAAGTAGAGTAAGAATAAGTGAAAGGCCAAAAGTATGGAGGATTGAATGGTTTATATCTACTACCCAATCTAGTATTTTGGGGGAATCTGCGTGCAGTATTGTCAAAAGGTCATAAATTAAATTACAGGATATTTGCTGACATATTCTGGTCTTGGGATTTTTTTATATTAATTCTTTTGATTGTAAATAAAATCTGATTTGACTGTTTTCTGAAGGCTCCATCTGTCTTCTTTGTAAACCAGATAACAGAAACAATTCACTAATAAGGTGGAAATCATTAAGCTACTTATGAGGTTGGATAAGTATGTAGAGGAATATATGAACTTATAAGAGTAACACTGGACTATTTCTGTTCTTGTGAGGTAACTTCAGCCCAAGGTGGAAATCATTAAGCTGCTTATGTGTTGTTAGTCTAAAACCACTTATGTTGGATTCCCTTATATGTCGCAGCCAAACAATCAAAACTTACTGTACATGCATTACCGATTTTCATGGTCTCTTAGACTTTCAAACTTTAAATAGCATAAAATAAGAGAAAGTTTGAATAGAGCGATTGCTATTACGCCTTTAGAATCACATATTACTTGGAGGAGTTTTTTTATTGGCTCTTTAGTTTTTTTATTTTTTAAATTTCTCTGATAAAGTGTGCCTATCTTTGTAGCTTGCTCATCTTGCCGAGATGGAGGTAAAACATAGATGCAATCAGGTATTGGAACTTGGTTTTCCACTAGGGGGAGTTGCCAAGCTTTTTGCTCAAGAATGGGAGGGTGATGTTACTGTTGTTATGCCTGCCACACTTGCTCAGGTAAATGAAAATTTACTATTCTATGGTTCAATAAAATTCAATTGTACAATATTTATTGACATGGAAGCCTAAAGCTTCAGTGTCATTATTTATTCAGTCATGGAGATTCACCTATGAATGATATAAATGTGAAATATTTGGTGACACAAATTTAAGTGACTTGAGGCTTTGTTTTAAAATTCTTTCTCTAATGACTGTATCTTCTTGTGGATCAATTTTACCTATTTCTCTGGACTCTATTATGTGGATTGTTTAAAACAATCATTTGCCACTGTGACTAACTGGCTTTTTGCTTCTCAAATACAATGCCAGTACTCGAAAATAATACAAAATCCAACCCATGTGGAGCTTCAAAAGGCATCCAACCAAGGGAGAAGATGCACTTGGGAGAAGCTTTCAGCAATAAAAGCAAATTGTGGCATTGAGCTTGCTCTTGATGAGTGTGTTGCAATTCTAAACCACATGCGTAGACTCAAAAGGAGTGCTGAGCGAGCTGCTGCAGCTTCCCATGCCCTTCCCAGCACAAACAAATTCAGTGCTTCAAGAAGAATTCCTTCCTGGAACTGCATTGCACGAGAGAACTCAACTGGCTCCCTTGAAGAAGACCTCCTTGCAGATGCTGCTGCCTCATTCCATCAAGGAGTTGGTAGCTCTTCAGGAGCACCATCTCCTGGTAGGAATTCTCGGGCTCACCGTAATACCCACGAAGGAAGTGATAGTGAATCTGAAAGTGTAGATCTACATTCTTGGACAAGATCTGGTGGTCCTTTGATGAGGACATCTTCTGCAAATAAGTTCATTGACTTTGTCCAAAACTTGGATGTTGAAACTGAACTAGCCAAAGGTTTGATCACTCATCCTAGTTCTCATGCATTTCAGATGGGAGGCAGGGATCCATTTAATCGTAGCCCAAGGACAACTTCAGATAGAGGTTCAGAACATGAGTTTGATCTGAGGGAACTTGGAAATAGACTGTCTGCTGGTAGTTCTAGCATCATGGTTGCCGAAGGTGATCTTTTGCAGCCTGAGAGGATACATAATGGAATTGTGTTTAACATTGTAAAGAAAGAAGGATTAGGGCAATCAAATAGGGCTCAGGATTTGGAAAATTACGACAGTGAAGTTGCTGAAGTGCAGATTGATTGTCCAGTAAAAGAGATAGATGGTAGCTCAGAATCTGAAAGTGGTGATGACGTTGTAAATGCAGCCAATGGCTTAAATGATGCTTCTAATGATCCTATGAATCATTCTGAGATACCCAGTAATAACAATCAGAGTGTTGTAGATCGTTAGCTTGAGGCAACAGTTCTTTTGAGTAGATACGCATGTCACTGTCAACCTGAGGAGGTCATACAGGACACAGGTTGCAGGCAGAGCAACTTTATGGTGACATTTTACTTGTGTAGGACATTGATTTGCTGAGGAAGTAGCATTGAATTGCACTTTCAATGGCCTATGAGCCAACCGATTGCATTACACTCCTCATTGCAAGAACGATGTGGAGGTGGTGGAGGATATGGCTTGGTTGTGGAAAATGCAATGTCTTACTTTTGTAGACTAATGTTGCAGGGACATGTAGTCTTACAAATCTTTATGAAAAAGATATTAACTCTCTCATAGTAGTATACGCATTCATGGGAGGGGCGCTTGTGCTTATGTTGGGAGGGGTCAGTGGCTAATTACTCTGCATTGAGTAACCAACGGTTTATCTTTTTCTGGATTGGTGAGTTATTGATATTACTTCCTTTGTTCATAAAATCAAGGGGGGATGGTTCCATGCCATGTACATATTTTATGTTTAATGACAAGTTATATGAATTCAAGATGTATTAATTATCATCATTTACAGATTATAGCATACAAATAGATGTTTTTATTTTATTATTCGAGGCACCAACTGAAACCATAGTTCAGCAGCCCTTCTTAATAAGAGTGTGTTGGGGATTGTTTTATTTAAGAATTAATCACTATAGCTTAAGAATTAAATTTAAAGCTGATTATAAAATAATCAATTTTATAAAATGATTTTAAAAGCTAGTAAGCAATGTTTTGAAAACCTGAATCCGGTTCACAGATGAATAAAACTGAAATTAACATTTGAACCGTTTTAGACTACTATTGGACCGGTTAATAGTATCAAACCATTGGTCCAATCGGACCGTAAGAAAAACCGGGTCAAAAAAGTTGAAAAACTAAAAACCCTAAAACTAATTCTCTAATCGCTAATTCACATCTCATTATCTTCTTCCTTCGTTCTCGTTGACGACGCAAACTTCTTCATTTTTGAATCTTCTTTTCTTTGACTTGATCATTGTGGACCTTTGTTGTTCGATCTTCTTTGAATCTTTCATCTTCGACCGACCGGCCATCATTGACCTTCGTTTATCTTCCGATTGTTGACCATCTTCGTTTTTAGTCGTTGTAACAAGTTAATATTTTTAGAGTACATAATTGTCCATGCACATTTTCATTATTTTTTAAAATAATGAAATAACCTAAATACTCTGTGGGTGATTTTAGGAATTAAAATTGTGTTGCTGCTTGGTTGAAACTTGAAATTGATAAAGCCAACGTCTTCCTGCAGACTGTGGTACTTTCGAGATAAATAACATAGAAATAAAATCACACCACACAAAGATACACGGTATTTACGTGGTTCAACATAATCCGTCTACATCCACGGATGAGAGAAATTTATTATAGTTTCATGAACACGATATCCAAGAGTACACAACATTATAAACCCAATACATAAAACAGAGCAAAAACAATCATAGTTTCTAACCGCTCTCAACCCAATACCTAGAGTAGAAAAAATCCTAGTTGTTTCTAAGACTCGACCCCTAATGTTTAATAACCCTTATATCAAATACCATGTGTTTTCATATTCTCTCATATTTTCTCATAACTTTGAATTGGTTCTCACCCTTATATTCATAGGTATGATATGAAATATTATATTTCTAATAGGATTTATATTTTAATTCTTAATAGGACTCCAAAATTCTATTCTTATTTACAATGGTATTCTTTATTAAATAATTTTTTTAAAGACATACAATTTCACATAAGAACAAATAGAAAAACAAGTTACAATATCCTAACAGACTAGGATTTTAGGAAGCAAAAAACAAATTTAGTTTCATTATCTGTTTGTTTTGTTTGATTGCAGTTTATTTGATTGTGTTGCTGGATTATTTTATGGGTTTTCTTGGTTGTTTGCTTGCTATTTTTTTTTTTTTTTTTTCGGGTTGACATCAAATTTAAAAGGGAGTTCATAATTTGATATGCAATTGTACCGAGAATTGGGAATTGTTAATGAAGTTTCAAGTTTGTTATTGTTTATTTATGAATTGTGATGTCGAACATGTAATTGATTGTGAATTTTGATCATGGAAACTTGTTTGTTACTGTCTTGATGTTTGTTGTTGAAATGATAAAGAATGGAAATCAGGAATTTTTTTTTTCTTGGCACGCATCATGTTGATGTCACCGATCCGATCGACCGGTCTCACTAGTCGGACCGGTCAACCCGTGAATCGGTGGCCTTAACGGGTCACTGCCTTGTCTAGTTTTCAGAATCTTGCTAGTAAGAGTAGCTTTTAAAAATCACATTATTTCTAAAACTAAGTTTACATCGTAAATGACAAATATACCCATACATGAGTCTTTAAATTACAAAATGAACTTAAACAAACATTTAACTTATTGAATTAATAATTTAATAATTTATTTAAGAAAAAATCTAAGTTGTAGTGGTTGTTAACACCGCTAACGGTGGACGATCGTTGATTAATAGTTAGTCGACGTCGGTCAAAGGTGGTGCGTTGGCTCCTTTGTCAATCTCAATAGAACCAAAACTTCTCATTTTTATAGGAATCCGACTGAATCATTTGATTTTGACTAAAGAAGACGATGGAATATGTCGTGGCCTTTGGTGCCCAAACCAAACATTGGAATTCGGTCAACCAAAAAATTTAGTCCAATTGAGATGGACAATGGAGCCAATGCACCACCTTTGATCAGCGTCAATTGTTGTTTTGAATTTTTAAAAAATTGTTAATTAAATAATAATAGATAAATAATTATGATGTATTCTTTAAATGTTTATCAAAATAAAAATATAGGATTATAAAAATATTTTAAGAAATAATGTGAAATTTAAAAAGTAAAATAAAATTGATATCCAAACTTAGTGAGCATGTTATATAAAGTTACAAACTTAAAAACAAAGCACATGTAGGAAAGAGACAAGTTGAATGGGCAATATTTGTATTGAAAGGGGAAAAGGTGAGTGATGAAAAGGAGTGGATCCAGCAAATGCCCACTAATTTGGGGGGAATTTAGCATCTACCATGGGGTGTCCGGCACAGCCTGTCACTAGATTTTGAAAATTTATTTTAGAAAGTTTACTTTGAAGCAATCTTATTTCAGTAAAACGTGAGAAGTGGTGGAAAGTCTGTTTGTAGTGTTAAGTGAAGTGAACGTCTTGGGCTTACCCTAGACACGCAACTCTAAAATGATGATCCAAGGGCTACCACAACCTCCAGTATGATTACTGGACGGGTAAGTTAACAATCCTAAAATTAATTCCAGATTATATATTAATTATTATATTTAACCAATATTATTTATTCTATAACTATAATTGATAGATTATATCAAATACGTTTTTGTAAACGACTTTGACAGAGAAAATTGCTTTTTTTTGCTTGTCTTCACGGGTAAAGAACTGGAAAACAAAACAACACAGAATCGATCCTAAAAGGAGAAAACTGCAAAAAATCACTCGAACCGGTTTTTTATACTTAATCTCTAGCCCAATGGGGCAAAGGCCCACGGGGGCCAGTCTTCCTTATTAACTCCAATATTATACTACTTCTCTAATTGTTAAAATATAATTCTTATTTTGAAAAGTGACAGAAATGAAAAGGTAATTCAACTCATTTTAATATTCCTAAGAAGAGAAACAAAACTAAGAATTGGAAAACAAGACAAAAGGTAATGTATCTTATATAACAGTAGAATCTTTTTATAGTAATAATATTAGAACTAATTAAATTTATTACTATAAAGAGATTATAATTTAATAGAGGTATAGTTATACAAATTATTATTTTGATTTCTTATTTATAATTCATGTTTGAGTAGTATTGAGATTTCAATTCATTGTTTTAATAGTATTATGATAATAGAGAAATTGATATCAAAGAGTCACTATAAATTTAAGTAATCAGATTCGACAATTTCATTACACTAATCAAATAGATATTAATGTCTTCCTTAATAATTCAAATAAGTAACAAGTAGTGTATATTTTAACTGAAAAAGAAATCATTATTGAAATTAGACATAAAGAGGAATGAGATAATATTGAGGATGATATTATAGAAATATCAAAAATTTAATGTCAAGAAACTCTAAACATGCTTGAAGGATAGAAATATTTTGGTTTCAACAAGAAGGTGTCCATGCTAGTGGCTTATTATGTATCAGTAAGATAAAAGATATGGTAACAACTCTAAAGCATAAATCATTATTCCGAACAACTTTAGATAAATATTTTATTTCATTTTAAACTCTTAATATAACATAGCATATATTTTTTACAATATACATATAACTATTACTATGTAGAGGCAAGTTTCTTAAGACGAGACCTAGAAAAATTACAACTTATTACAATATGAAATTTATTCTTATTTATAACTGGCCCAAGTTGGGACCGAAAGTTTTTATGATTATATGGAGGTTATTCCTACATAAAATATCACTATAGAGATGTTCTATTATACTTATATTATCATGTTTGGTTATCAAGTAATATAACATTTTAGTAATATTTCAAAACCAATAGTAATTATAATTACTGTTGGTTATATGAATAATAATCTAAATACCACTATTTTTTTTTTAGGTATTTTAAGATTACTTATCTTAATTTTATTACAATTTTTTTCTTAATTATTAAAATTTTTGGATAATAATGCCCTTGTTCTAAAAACAATTTACAAAAATATTCATGGACTATTTTATCCTTATATACAAATTTTTTGAAACATAAATGTTTATAAACCACATTTTATCAAACGCGTCAACTACTTATCAATCATTTATAAGTACTTTAACCAAACACATAATTGCTTAAATTTCAAATGCTTATAAGCTCAAATTAGCTTATAAGCACTAACTGTTTATAAGCTAATTTTCATAAGCTCAGCCAAACACATTTAATATAACATTTTCAGTAATCTTTAAGATAATTTTTTTTTCTTAATATAATATTTCTAACAATACAATATTCCTTGAACCAAACACTCCCTCAAAGTTGGTCTTCATCTATCTCATTTTCTATTTGACCCAGTGATAGCCACTTAGGCAGAAATAGTAAATAAGCAATTTAAGTGGTTCATATTAAATTTGCTACTTCTACAAGAAGTAGGATTCACTATATAAGAGAACAAACAATAATATGATAAGTCTTAATCTTTCAATCTCAAAATCTCAATTGTGTTAGGGGGTTTGCTCACTCTCTCTGTAGACTTTTGTCACTAATTATGTATGTTCGCTCTCTCACTTGACTTTCTTTGATGTACAGACAGTGTTAGGTTTTTAAGGGTTTTAATACCTCTTTTTTTTTTTTTTTTTTTTTTTTAATAATCGGAATTGTTTGGATTAACTTACGTACACCTCAACTAATCTTTTGAGATCCTATAATTACTAGTCGGATAAGAGTTTCAATAGTTACCTCTATTGGAAACTGAGGAAGAACTTCAACTCAAGACTTCTTAAGTAATACATATAAGAGCCTATATCGAATCAC